AAAAAGAAAAAAAAAAAAAAAAAAAAAAAAGCAATAAAACGTAAGATGGGAGCATCTAGCCTGTACCACTCAGTTTGGAGAGCTGTGCAAACTGTGGGAGCATCTGAAGGCGAGAGGTCAAGATTTTTGCTGCCGTGGGTGCAGCTAAACATTCCGCAGTGACGGGAATCCGCGGATTTGGTAAGCAATCAAGCCCTTTGTTGGCTGATGGCTGATGTATTCTATGTTTCAGGTTCGCAATCGGAAGGCTTGAACGCGCGTTTATACATTTCTGAAAGAAAAGATCTGTTGGAGAAGCTTGAGAGTCTTGTTCGCAAAGAACGAGCAGTCGTCGTGCGAGCCCCTCCTCAAAGTGGTAAAACGTCTCTTCTTCAGCTGCTAAAAGCCAGAACCGAATCGAAATTCGGCGACGTGTTCTACATCAGCCTTGCAGGCATCAGTGGCCACAGTTTCGAGTATATGTGGTATCAGCACTATCATGGTGAGTACTCTAAGAAAGTCTGTTTATTTTACTCTCTGTGACATGTCTATCATTATCTTGCAGATGTTTCAATGGAGAGGCTCAACAGCAGCAAGCCTACACTTCTACTTGTCGACGAAGGGCAGAGTGGGTTTCATGCTTCTGATCTAACTCTATGGGCCAAGATTAAATCAGCGCAAGCCGGTGGTATGCTGCATATTGTGCTCGTCTCCAGCTTTGGGGGTGATGAGGGTGATACGGACGAAGGCGAGCTGCCGGCAACACCAGTTATATTTAAACCAAGTTGCGCTGTGACTATACGGTGAGGCTTAGAAATTATTCGCATGTAACTTATGTGATTCTCCTGAATGCAGGCCCCAGCATGGTTGTGGATCCTCGGGTCTTTATCTCCAGTTTTCAAATGCTGAATGCATGGAGTTATGGGAGAACTGGTGCAAATTCTGTGCATTTGTACCCAGCAACAACGATATCCTCTACTACGTGATGGAGGTTGGAGATAGACAACCAGGGCTCATGACACACATGCTTGACTGGCTTGTGAGGGGAACGTTCAATGACAAAAATTGGGACGACTGTGAGGAGTTTGCGAAGAGCGAATTGCTTTCTGAACGCTTTATGGCTTCGCTATCTGAGATTCGAAGTATTTCCACGTAAGTAAGGCCCGCAGACTAGACGCCTGATGTGATTTGATGTGATTCGTGTCCAGGTTTCGTAATATGTATTGGCGACCGGAGTATGCGGGTATCCTCTCCAAATTACTGGGATCCAGTTCAGTAAGTGTCATTCTCATGTTTCCAATTTAACTATCCAATTTAACTTGCTATCTAAACCTGCAGGCTCTGGGTTTTGTGAAGAAAACAGAGCTGTCCTCGGAAGAGCTTCGTGCTGCAAATAAGCTTTCGAGAAGGGGTCAATTGGTGAGGACCAAAGCCATGAACTTTATGTTTCCTTCGCCTTTGCACCGTCACTATTATGCATCTTTATGTGCCACTGCAACGTTAACGCTGCCCCAAGTTCAAACAATGGGCATCGAGAGCTTTCTGGTCCATGTGATTCAAAGGATGAGTGCCGGGCGTTTGGCTTGTTCTGAATCTCTTGCAACTGAAGATGGGACAATATACGAGCGACAATACCAGAATGAGTTCTATCGGTATGTATGCTATTTACCTTGTGTTGGCCTAACTGAAATGTTTTGTTACAGCACATACTGCACACTTCTTGATGTCCCAATGTCCCCGGATGTTGGTAGACTGTATGGTGTGGCAGGATACGTTGACTTTTATCTCGCAGATCTCAAATGGGCCTTTGAAATTGCTCGGGATGGTATCAAACTTGGGGAACACCTTGCACGGTTCGAATTGAGGGGCCGTTACCATGCATTGATCTCCAAGGGAGTGGTGAAGAAGTATGTGGTAGTGAGCATGGATGCAACTGGTGTTGTTTACAAAGATGAGGTAGGATTGGTTCAGGTGATATTTGCTGATGGTTACAAGACTGCAACAATCTATCCCTCAGGCCAAGAAGTAGTTTTACAAGCTTAGAACAGTGAATTTCTTAGCCCTTATCCAAGTATTTTCTTAATAAATTTAAATTGTTAGTTGTTGAACTTTTTGGGCTGTGGATCTAGCCAGGGGGAGGGGGAAGATCCAGAAAGCAAATTCAATAGCAAGCACACTTTTTTTCCTTCCCTCTTTATTTCTTGTTTTTTTTTCTCATTTTTTCTCTTAAATACAGGTTTCAACTAGCTATTATGGTGGGATAAGAGGCATTGCAAAATGAAATAGATTGTTAGTAAAAAAATTAAGATTTCTTGTTTTTATAAAAATCATAAAGAATTTTGACAAAAAGAGAGCAACCCAATTTGATTAAAAATGTTGAAGATCTACTCTATAATTCTTCTTCAAACTTAATAACCAATTGGGTAAGAGGTGGTGGATAGAGACTCAAGATTTAGAGAATCAGGAAAAATTCTTAACACTAAAAAAAAAAATTTAGCATTGAATAAAGACTTTAATGAATATAAAAAATTGATAAAGTAAAACAATTATCCCTTTAAGAGATCAAACATATACAAAATATGTACAAGATTAAAGATGTACAATAGTTGTCATTTGGGACTTTCAAAACTCTACCAAACCTTACACTGAATGCTACTTAGAGAGATGGTTAGTATATCACAAAGAAGACTACTCTAAAGATTAAAAATGAAAAAGAAGCTAAAAAGGACAATTAAGAAGAGTGAGAGTATACACATGGAAGATCATATTTATTTCATACTTTCATTAATTTCTTAGGAACATATAAATTATACCAATCACATTAATCTTAGATTGTCAGGAATCCCCCAATTCTTGCCACATTCCTGACTCTCGCCGGATTCCTGACCTGCAGACCACATTCCTGACTCTCGAGACACTTCTCTATTCCTGACTCTCGAGACACTTCCCTATTCCTGACTCTCGAGACACTTCCCGATTCCTGAGTCTCGAGCCACATTCCTGATGATGATGTGGCGCCTCCTCGACCTCAGCTGTATTTAGGCTGTCCTCGATCCAAGAGTGGTGGAGCTTCATCAACCTATAGTATATATAGGTTAGCCTTGTTCCATTTCTCCACAATCTGAATCAACACCAGTCTAAGGCCTCTTCTTTGTTTTCACTAGCTTTTTCTCTTTGTCTTTAGCATTTTCCAGTCTTGATCTTGTTGGGGGTCTTGACAGTTTGATTCAGATTGTGTTTTTTGCTTTTCTTTTAGCTTGTTTTGATTATTTGATTGCCTTTGTCTTTTCCCCCCTTTCTTTTCTTTCTTCTTGCCAATGGAGTCTCCAAGCCATCCTGATTTCTTTGCTGAAGTCCTTGCAAAAATCCAGTCTGAGAATACCGAGCTGAAGGCGACCCTTCTTCGCATGCAGCAGGAGCTTGCTTCACTTTCAGCTCAAGGATCCAACAAAGTTCCTGAACCGAAGGTGAGTTTCCCGGCGAAATTTTCAGGCAAGCGTTCGGAGCTTCGTGGATTTTTGAATCAAATGGAGCTGATCTTTGCACTTCAACATCGGCGGTACCCCACTCCCGAGTCTCAAATCGGCGCGATTGGGACGTTGCTCGAGGGTGCAACTTTGTCATGGTTTTCTCCTCTTCTGGAGAAGAGCATGAAAGGGGTCGTGGTTCCGGAGCTGATGGATCTTCAATTGTTCAAAGAGAAGCTCGAAGCATGTTTTGGCGAGACGGATCGGGTTCGGGCTGCTACCACAAAGATGAGACGTCTCTCTCAGGGGTCTCGTTCTGCCTCGATCTACGCTGCAGAGTTCCAACTCCTTGCCTTGGACACTCAGTGGGATGAGCGGGCCCTGATTGACCAATTTCGTTTCGGCCTCAATAACGGTGTCAAGGATTTGTTGCTCACCATGGAGGATCCCAAGGACCTGTCAGACGCCATCAACAAAGCTGTTCGATGTGACAATCGTCTCTTTGAACGTCGTCAGGAAAGTCGCCGCGCCGCTGTTTTTCCATCCCAGACTCAGGAATCCCAGCTTGAGTCTTCGGGGCATAGTCCTGAACCTACTGCTCCGGTCCCGATGGATATTTCTGGTACTCCCCGACTCATTAGAGGGAAGTTGAGTCCTGCTGAGAGGCAACGTCGAATATCTCATAATCTTTGCCTCTACTGTGCTGATCCTAATCACAAAGCAGCTGTGTGTCCCAGGAAGCCTCCCCGATTGCTCGAGTTCACTC